CGGCTCCCTTGCCACATGCTGTACAGGTAACTCAGAAGACACTGACATCCATACCGCCATCTATGGCCTCTGGTGCTTAGGGAACTGTGAGTCCCAGCTGTGTTTGGCAGGTTTCCTGGCCCCAGGAAGTTCCCACAAGTGAGCTGCATGAGCTTGACATGGTCGTTACTGGCACTCATAAACCCTCCCGCAGTCCCCACTTCAACCCTTCCTCCTCCCTCCTGCCCTCTCTCCCTCCCCCCTTCTCTCCAGGCATGTCCTCCCGAGCCTCGGGCCCTTTTAGTACTCTTAAGAGCAACACTGAGACAGCAGAAAGGCACTCAGAGCTGAAAATTATAAATGTTGCTCCAACTTGGCACAGTGTGTTGACCTTCAGCTAGATCATCCAAAGCTCAGGGCCTAGAGGAAGCACCGGGAACATGGCCTCCTGCTATATGACATGGCCAGGGCTGCCGGGGAAAACAACAGAAAGGTGTTTTCAGGTTGGAGCCTTCTGAGGACTGCGAGAGAGACTCTGCTCAAGGCTTCTCTCTTTCGGAGGCTGTGTGTCCCCCATATGCTCCTCCCTCTGTGTGTGTCTCTGTGAGCAAATTTCCCTTCTTTATAAGGATGTCCATCATTTTAACAACCTTGTCGTAACTTGGATAGCACCAAGAAGACCCTATTCTTAATAGGGTTACATTCTGGGTTTCTAGGGGCTGGGGTGATTTCAGCATATGAATTTAACCTACTATTCCTGCTTCCACACCCTGTTTCCCCAGCATTCTAGCATATTGAATGCAACAAGGGTCGAGGGGTGTGGGAACGTGCTGCTCTCTGGAGAAATGCTATGTGAGCCTGGGAGAGATGGGCAAGGTGAGAATGGGAACTAGAGAAGGATATCCCACCTAAGGGCGAGAAAGAGGACTGAACCAGCCCCCGCAGAACAGCCCCTCAGTTATGTATGTGGGCTCTGCAAGTCTGCTAGTGATGAGTCCAAGCCCCAGCTCCATGGTTTCCTGGTGGTGGGCCCAGTTCTTGCATTAGTGAGATGTGTGTAGCTATAGTGTCTACCTTGTGGCATGGCTGTGAAGAGCACCATGGGAGCTGGGCTTTGCACACAATAGTGTTGTCATAATAGGTGGAAGTTGTGTCAGGCAAGTCAGGGTGATGAAGAAGAGGCCAGCTGTCACTCAGACCGCACACACACAACTGTGTCCCCTTACTACTAATAAAGAGGGAGGACCTGTGGTGGGTAGCCAGATCCAAGCTTTTCTAACTGTGGCCTGTGATCACAGGCTTAAGATCCATGTGGGCATCACTGAGGAAATGCAGAATCCCAGGTCCCTCATGAGTCACCGAATCACTTCTATGCATAGGATTTAGAAATCTAATTCTTCCCCTCTTTTATAAGGCTGAGGATTAAACCAGGGCCCTGTGCATGCTCAATAGGCCCTCTCAGCTACCCCCACCCTTCCTTCTATGTTTCATTTTTTATATAGGCTTTTTAAAAACAGGCAGGCTTGCACCACTGAGCCTAGCAGGAATGAACCAGAGCACAGTTCGTGGAGGGGCAGAGCTGAGTCATGTCCACGAGTAATACTCCTGCAAGGTAGGCATGCCTTTTTACAGCTGTCAGCATCACCAGCGTGCCATGAACAGGGTTAGCGAGGTGGTCTTAAGTGATTATGCAGTCACCCAATCTTGGTGGTTACGTGGATATATTCTTCAGAAAAGTCTAATCTTTCCCTTCACCATAAGCTTGCTTGGTTAAGACACTTGGTTTGGATTATCCGTTCTTCCTATCTCTACAACCAAGGCTGCCCAATATTACCCTCAAACTTAGCTCAGGAAACTCTGAACTTAGGCAGAGAGTCCTGGTTCAGCATTCTCTGCATGCCTGAGTCTGTTTTTAGCCCCATTTCCTGTATTCTTGAGCCCAGCCCTCTCCCTGGTTCAGGGGCCAGGGTACCTGTGTAGCCTGTCTTGTTTCCAAAGGTCCTGCTGCCATGCTGTCAGTGGTGTACAACCTCTCAACACTGAGACAGATACTGTCACCTACAAAGTTCACAGTCAAGAGCCATGTATTAAGTTACAAAAAAAGAAAAGAAAAAACTTTTAAAAACCCTCCTGGTAATGTTTTAAGTGAGTTTATAATTTTATGTTGGGATGCGTCCATGGCTTTCCTGGAGTGCATGCGGTCAGTCAGCTGCAGACGGGACCTGCCTGCATATAAGTCTTCAAGCTTAAGACACAGCTAGGGTCCTGCCATCTCTGAACAATAGTTTCAAACTCCAGTCTATTCTCTAGGGTCTTTAGATGTCACCTGTTGCTAAATTCCTGTCACCAGGTTCCACCTTTCTCTTAGGGTGTCTCCCAGTTCGGCGCAGACCTGCCGAACAGTCGGACTTGACTCTGTCCTTTGGCAGCTGTGGAACCACCAGTAAACCTCTGTCCCACATCTGTACCAGCCCCTGCTTCACTGGGCTGTTGGCAGACTTAACGCTGAGCCCAGTGCCTGGGTACAGAAAAGACGAGAAACACTGCTGACTAGGACAATAGCTGTTCTGTCTCCAGATCTTCACAAATGCAAACAAAGCCCCATGCCAAAGCAAAAGGGCCAGAATTAGCATGGGGGCATCCAGGCCTCCTCAGTGTTCAGTGCCACTCACTGAACGCTAAGCAGTGGACTGATGCTGTTACTCACTTGATCTAGCCCTTAGTAAGGTTAGCATTTTATCACCTTTTTATAAAGGAGGAAAGTGAGGGGCAAGCCACAGCACTGATAAGTAACAGAGTCAGGGTTTGTACCTCAGGCTGCCTTTCAGCAGAGTCCATGCATTTAGCCACCTTGCCACACCGCTTTCTGTGTGTGTGTGTGTGTGTGTGTGTGTGTGTGTGTGTATGTGTGTCTTCATTCATGCGTGAGCACAGGAATGCACTTGCTATGATGTCCATGTCGAGGCAGAAGGACGACTTTCGTGTTGGTCCTTGCCTTCCACCTTGTTTGAGATCGGGTCTCTCTGTTGCTGTTCCTTGCTGCATCTGCAGACTGTCTGACCCTTACATTGCTGGCGAGTCTCCTGTTTGGGCTTCCTTTCTCACACAGGAGCCCTGAGAGCCCAGACCTGTGCTGCCACACTTTTACATGGCACTGGGGGGTCCAAACTCAGGTCCCTATGCATGCGTGATGATGGCTGTGTCCACTGAGCCATCTCCCCAGCCCCTGCTATGCCTCTTTTCACTGTGGCTGAGGAATTAAAATAGCTGCAATTTCCTCCTCTGCCTCTATGTTTTCTGTCGCTGCCATCTACTCCCCGAGAACTGCCTCCTGTCCTCTGCCTGGGTTAGGCATTCACCCCAACCCTTACTGTTCCTTCCCTTGATACTCGGAAGCTCCCTCCCTTCTCTGTCTGATGGGGCTGGCACCCGCACCTCTGTTTGCAACACCTTGTTGCTAGTTAATGAAAAACTGTCTGTCTGTGAATTCTTCCCTAAGGAGGGAGTTGGTGGTTGTGAATCAAGCCACACTATTGACACCAACAACAGTCCTCATGAGGGCAGCCCACTCTTCCTGGATACAACTACTCCCAAAGCAAGGCCATCTGTTCTCAATCGTGTGTGTGTGTGTGTGTGTGTATGTGCGTGTGTGTGTGCGCGCGCGCGTGCGCACATACACTCCCAGGTACACACGTGTACATGTGCATACAGAGGCCAGAAGACAACCTCAGGTGTCACCCCTCAGGAGCTGTCCACCTTAGGTTTTGCTTGTTTCCTGGTTCCTGTTTCTGCTCAGTTGCTTTGAGCTTGGGTCTCTTGCTGGTATGGAGCTCAGTGAGTAGACTAGACCGGCTGCCTGGCTAGCCCTGGGGATCTGCCTGTTTCCGCCTCCCTGGCACTGGACTTTCACTACTGAACCCAGCTGAAAAAAATAACAACAATCCCCCAAGCCCCTGGAGATCCAACCCAACCCTCAAGATTGTATGGCAAACATATTACCAGCTGAGATATTTTTTCAGCATTTTGCCACAGCGCCGGGTTCATGGCAGCAACTGGGCGTCAGGGGAATGGGGCAGCCTCTCTTGGGATGCCTGTCTCCCCCCACTGCAGCACGAGGAGCTAAAGCCTCGTCTATGGCACCCCCATAGAAAGGGAAAGCAAAGTGCTGTTCCCAAAGCAGACAGGAAGGAAGAGAAGGAACAGTGGGTGCTAAATGCCCTAAAGGGCTCAAACTCAGCTGAGATACAGGGACTTCAGGACTGAGATGAGAAGTGAGGTCTTTGCAAAATGGCCCTTGATTAAATACCTGAAATTCCTACATGGGCACCCAGAGGTCTGAGAGTCTTAAGGCTCCTGTCCAGGAGCCTCGCACACTTTTGGAATGCACTAGTCCCTGCAGGAGCTTAAGGGGAGGAGTCCTGAGGTGAGCCTGCGACTATGAAAGAGGACCAGTTAATGAGTAACTCGGGTGACAGGACTGAGAGCATCAGAGTCCACCCTATTAAAACCTCCAGCTTTTCTGTGAAACAGCTGCCCATAGAAACCTAAACTTCCCACAGGCTTTCCAGGGCAGCTGAGTTTCTAGGCTGCTGGGTAGGATGAGCATGACACAGCAAGCTAGTGCCAGCCAGACCCACTGTGGCCATCGTTTTCAGCTTCCACAGATCTGAAAGGCTGCATCCAGGGCTTCTGTCAATCAGATGGTCCCCACCCCCTCTGGTCTTCCTAGGCCGGTGCCGGTGGGATGATGATGATAGGGCAGCCGGGTGTAGGATTACTTTTGCAGTCTCTAACCTGTAAGTGTTATTTTTCCACGTCTGTACTCTTAGCAGGCCCTTCTTCCAGAGCTGGCACCTCAGTTCAAGCCAGCCACGGGGAGCCCATCCAATGCCCTGGCAGGCATGCTGACTCCCTAACTGCTTAAAACACTTCTCCCTCCCTCTTCCTTTCTACTAGTTTTATGCGCGTCCTAGGACAAACAGCCAAACCCATCTCTGGATATAACACCCCCCAATTCTTACCTGAAGAGCCGGCAGGCTGGGGACTCTCCTCCCTCCACTTGCTCACGAGGGTGATGGGATCCACTTGGTGGCCTTTGCTCTGTGTATCACGGTCCCTGTGCCGAGGCTGTCTCTCCAGCCGGCTGTCTGAACCTCAGGATTACTGCAGTTCTGTGTGGGGAGAGGGACGGGCTGTGGCATGCACATCAGGTTGCTGGCCCGCCTCCAGACACTATGCCAGTCCCAGAGGGCTGTGTGGGAAGCAGGGAGGTGGGTGGGGGAGCAGAGAGTGCCGGCCTCTAGGTCTGTCTTTGGCCCTTGCTCATCAGCAGAGGGGCCCCGCCTGCAGACCACCACACAGCCCCACCCCACCACGTCAGTGCACCCGAAGCTGTAAGTGCCCCCAGCTCTAGATGGTCTGCATCAGACCTGGGGACTGCAGAGATGACAGACAGTGACAGCAACCACCTTGGGTGTTATTTTAGCATGGTTTGTCTTGGGGCAGAAGCCCAAGCCCAGTGTACTACCGTCTGAGCAGAATCCTGTTTATTTTGAGGCCTCTGTCACCAGGGAAACAACTGGTGGTGTTGAAAGAGACTCCTCTAAAATCAGGCGGCTAGTGAAAGGGAGCCCTTTTCTGTTCTGTCATCTGTCCCCACAAATGGTGTCAAGTGTCTGTCTATATGTCTACACAGTTCCCAGAGCCAAGCCCCACCAAGTGCATTCTGCAGAGCTAGGCAAGGTAGTGGCCACCAGGTTAGGGCTAGGGAGGGGCATCAGAGACTGTCCCGGCATTCCTCACCGCACTTCCCACCTATCCCAGCTAGACTAGGGGGAGTCCTCCGGTAAGCCAGTGGACACCCATGTCATCTTCACACTACGAAGAAGGAAGGAAGGTTGCCACCTGTACAAATAACTCTGGTTTGAAGGTTGGGAATAGACTGGACTCAGAAGATACGGATCAAAGAAACCAACTGACACCATATGATCAATTGTTTCCAATTCTGTGAGGAGAACCTCCCTTTCACAGGCATTTCAGTCCAGGAGGCTGGAGTGAGCATTCATGTGCTTGTGGGCTCCAGCCTGCCCGCCTGATGGTGCAGACAGAGAGAGGCATGTGGACTGGGGGGGGGGGGGGGGCGCTGGAAAGGTCTCTCTCCCTGATCAGATCAATGCAGTCACGTGGTGCAGCGAATCCAGTAAGAGCAGGATGGGGGCGGGGCAGCAAGGTCTGATTTTGAGCACTTCCTTGGTCTCCAGCTTGCGACACTATTTTGAAGACTATTAAGTCTGTAAGAGGTGGGCATGGGAGCAGGTCTTTAAAGACTGCAGCTGTCCCTGCCTCTTGTCTAGCTCTCTCCACTTCCCGGCCCATGCCATGGGAACAGCCATGACTCTGCTGTCCTGTCACAGGCCTTCCACCACTGATGGGCTGAAATGAAGCCACTAGCCACAGCGAACCTTTTCTCCCATAAGTGGCTTCTGTCGGGTGTTTTGTTATAGTAATGTAAATGTTAACAGTGGGGGTGGTGTCTCTTGGCTGAAAGAGCATCCAGGGCTGTTCCTGGGTCTTCAGAATGAGGAGTCCTGAGGATCTCAGCTCCTGGAGCTGAAGCAAGAGACTCAGAGGTCACATGGCTCCGACCACCAGTCTCTCAGAGGGACACCATCACATCAACACCACACCTAGTCTTTCTGGAAAGAACGGAAGACGTACAGGTTGGCTATTTCCCAGCTAGAAGCTTCATGCCCTGCCCCAGTCACTGTACATGTCACACACACAACATGCCCGAAGGTGCCACGTGCATCCGCCTTCAAGCGCAGTGCTGTGTGTGAGCATGGCCCCATCAATGTCCTTATTTAGGAGGTTGGGTCACATGTTGAAATCCAAAGCTTTTGCTATAAAATTTACACCCTTGAGAGACTCATTCAGATGAAGGCGGGTGTTGGTGTTTCTTGTTCAGTCTCTCAAGCTAAGAAGGAGGAGTTAATTCTTGAAGGAAATGACAGCGTGCACTGTCTGTAGCTTTAAATCAGCAAGCCACAAGAGTTCAACCCAAAAAGGTGTTTATGGTGATTTGAATGAGACATCCCCATCGTCTCTGGCATTTGGATACTTGGTCCCCAGTGCTGCTTGGATAGGCTTAGGCGATGTGGCCTTGCTGGAGGAATGATGTCACTGAGGGTGGGCTTTGAGGTTTCAAAACGCCACACACCATCCCTGGTTGTCTTGCTCTGTGCTTCCTGCCTGAGGATTTAGATCTGAGTGCTCAGCTGCTGCCCCCGAGGCTGACATGCTTTCCTGCCACCCACAACGGGCTCTCATCCCTCTGTGAGCCTCAACAGCCTCTTCCTTTTATAAGTTGCCTTGGCCATGGCGACTTACCACAACAGTGGGAAAACAGTACAACGTCAGTGCGACACTCGTGTGCTAAAAAGGTGCAGGTCAGCATGCCAGTGGATCCCATCTGAGAACTGTCCAACTCTGCTGGGCGACCGCCTAGTGGAAAATCTTTGTAATGTTGTAATGATGTGCTCAAAGACCCCTTGTGAACAAGAGGCACGGGCCCAGCATCCTATGCAGAGTCCCACCCCCACCTACCGCCACTGCGTGACTGAACCTCCTCCCCCCTGCTTCAGCTCGATACTCCTTAACCTGAGCACACTGTGTTCTTGGCCACTCCTGGGCAACTCAGCTCTTCCATGCTCCAGGCTCCTTCTTTCCTAAGGGCTCAATAAGATTTCCAACTCACGGCATCCCTGCAAACTCCAGAGCACCGTGGCAATCAAATATAGCCAAGAACATGCTAGCATGCGCAACTTGAAGGTGCAAGTGTCAGCTGTTACTTCATTTCATTTCTCCCTTGTATCCGGTTGTGAGCACTATCACACACTCCCCCCACTCACCTTTTAGGTCAATGCAAACCCTGATGGCTGACATACCTAATTTCTGTACTGTTGTAAGTGTTTGGCAATATTATGGTCCAAATTCTGGGAAATAGATCCTCAGTTCTTTAAGGTACATTAATAAATATAATTCTCTTAATGTTGGCATTAAATTTTTCTTTTTACTTTAACATTTCTCAACTTATGTATTTATTTCAGCATGTGTAAAGGATCTATACCTATCTTAGAAATAATATGTGGGTTTTTTTTAATCCTGAGTGATGACAATGAATGTCTCTTGGCCCAAGTATTATCTGGAAGAGACTGTGAGATTACCTGGGAGTAAAGTCTGGCCCTAGAATAGACCTGAGCCCTGAACCAGGAAATAGTCTGTGGAAAAAATAGCTGTCAAAGCCACTCATTAAGCACCCACGAGATTCTCTATGTCCTTCGGTGTGTGACAGGAATCATATCTTCTCCCGAACTTCGTAGGCCATTTTAAAACCCTCTTCTGTCACAATAAGACCTTTTACAGAAACCACATACCACATGCGTGACCCGAGGAAGACAGAAAACAATAGGTCTTTGAGGACAGACCAAAATCCTGGTGGGGCTATCCACAGAAATGCAGCCTTGCCAGAGTTATGCCAGACTGAAGTGCTGGGGCTGTTAACTGTTGATGGAGGTGACATCCTCCTTCCGAATCTTAAGATGCCGACCAGTACTCAGGCAGCTGCTGTTGATAGAAAGCGGCTCCAACCTCTTAGGAGAACCCCAGAACAGTAGTTCTCAATGAGGTGGGGGCCAGGCACCCCCTCTAATGCTGCCACCCCTTAATACAAGTTCCTCATCTTGTGGGGACCCCCCAACCATAACATTTTTGCTACTACTTCATAGCTATAGTTTCATTACTGTTTTGTATCATACTATAAATATACGTTTCCGCCTGTGAAAGGGTTGTTTGACACCCCCAGACGTTGTGGCCCACAAGTTGAGAACCGCTTCTTTAGAAGGCCCGTAAAAGTAGAGGACAGCATTTCTTTTCTTCCTTTCTTCTCACCCCCACCCAACTGATTTCATGTTCCGTGCTCCTGAGCGGCAGACGTGGACCCCTCACTCTTTAGCGTGGGCGGCAGCAGCGCCGATGCGGCACAGACGGGCAAGATTCCGAAGGCTGCCAGGAACCAGGCTTTTCCTCTCAGGCAGAACAGCCGCCTGTTCTGGCTTCTCGTCCTTGACTCTTGAGGGTGACATTTGATATCCGCCTCAGCCTTTCTCCCTCGGTCATTCCGTTCGAGTAAGCGATGCAGCTGTGTGAGACTCTGTCATAACGGGCCTGCGTTTTCTTCCTAATCTCATTTTGACCTTGTTCGGGCCCAGCAGGTCCTAATCAGCTGACAGGCACAATCAGGTGCTGACGCCGCTCTGCTGCAGAGCAGAAGCCTGCTTACACCCGCCCAATCAGGGCCATTAAACGAGGGCATCCTGGCCACCGAGTCAGCTGCCAATTGGCCTGGGAAGCGCGGCAGACATTCTCAAGAAATTGCATTAGTTACCTCAAGGAGAAACACACCAGCAAAGCTGGAGGACAGACACTGTGCACAGTGGCTCACAGAAAGGACTGCCTGGCCCCGCCTCACAGTCACCCAGAGAGCATCAGCCGGCTGTCCTCAGCAGCTGTAGGCGGGGCACTGGAAGGGTCCCTCCCACAAGAAGTGGGCTGCTTCAACTCCGATGGGACAATTCCACTCATTTGCCTGGGCTGGCTTTGAACTCAATGTAGCCCAGACTGTGTCCTCCCAACTAGCAGAGAATTACAGGCCTATGCTGCCAAATCTGGCCTAGGTGATTACACTTGGTGTGCAAAAGCTCTTGTTGTAACAGGAATATGGGCCTCACAAACACAGTCCCCCTGCGCTGCCAGGCGTGTGGAATTTGGCTCTCTCAGGAAAGATGACTTTGTGCCTTGGATGTGATGGCACTTCACAAACAGCTCGCTCTGCGTTTGCAGTGCTCTTTGGTTTTTTGTTTACTAGACCTTCGGGCTGTGTGAGGTAGTACAGGCTAGGAATCTCAGCAGTTTGGAGGCAGGAGCAGAAGATAGAGAGTTCAAGACTAGCCTGGGCTACAGAATGAGATTTGGGGACAAGCATCAGTGTTTCTTTTGGGGATTATTGATTTCCGTAATTTCCCTTTAATTTGTCTTCCCGTTTCTTCCCTTCAGCCCCATGGGTTAGTCCAGAAGATTCTTTTTTTTTTTTTTTTTTTTTTTTTGGTTTTTCGAG